GGTGGTGGAGAAGCGAGGTCTCGCGGGGCCCTCTGGGAGGGAAGCAAGCAACATGTGGGGCCGCGGAGGAAGGAAGGTGAAATTCGGTATAAGTGTGTTGAAGAGAAAGTTGAAAGCTGCATTTTAGCAACCCCCACCAAATTTTGTTTGGTCCCCGTCCCTAAGTCTCTGGAACGTTCTGTGGGTGGAAAGCGAATTACTGTGAACGGAGGAGACGCCAATAGGCTTTGGAAGCCTTGAAAGGCACCGCTTTGACCTTTTGTAAAAGTTACTCAGGCAGTGGCTCCGTGATGAGGGTTTGGCTTTATGGACGGATAAAAGCCCTTATACGAGGAAAATTCTAAGAATGAGAGAAACCTAGTCCGAGGAAAGCCGGGTTTGTTGGGTTTTTTTAAAATATTACTTAACAGAAGTACTTTTATTTTAACTGGAACGTGTGCTGCTGGCCTATTTTAGTTTTAAAGGTAGTGGATACCTACCTTACACAAATACGAGGTTTAGTTTCTCTTATTTGTTTCTCTTGTGTGCAGTGAGCATCAGCTGACTGCCTGGCTAATGCTTTGAGTAGATTCCAGATCATATTGTTCTTGAATTGTGAAAACGTCAAACCAGCAAAGCTGCAACTTCGCAACTTGGCACTTGTTAACTATGCCCATAAAAAGAATCTTTTCAATGAGGGAAGGAATTTACAGGTTGTATAATGGATCGAGAAGCCAGGGCCAGTCTATGGCAGGTTTTTTTCCCCCCCCTCTTTCTAGGAGGGAGGGATGGATTTTACTCCGTAATATTCCGGCATAAAGTAAATACATGCTTTAATTTTTTTTTTTAATCTAACCGACAATGTGTAGCTGATAAATTTGAGATCTTTAAATTGGGTTTTAAAGAGACCCAGCTACCTTAGAGTATGTCCGACATTGGTAATAAACATTCATTGGAACACTGCCAAGTGAATCTTGAAAAGATTTGAGATTACTGACCTCATTCTGTTTACCGTTTTTTATCCTCATTGTGGGTTTTTTTCGGCAGGATAAGAAATCAGATATGATTTTAAACAGTGCCAGTTTGTATTAGGAACGTTATGCCATGCAAATGCTTCAGATTTTAAGTGTGATGTGTTTTGCTGGGCAAGAGAATGCGAAGTTTTATTCATATTAACATGAATTCCAAAATACACTTTTGAGTTCCAAATTGATTCGTTTGGCTTTGTTAAAATGTGAACTTTAATAATTGCTCCATTTATTGAGTGTTTAAGCTAGATCCTCTCTTGTGTCTAAAACAACATTGCAGTGTTTTACAGATGAGAAACACTGAGGTGGAGAGGTTAACTTAGAAGTAAAGTAGTGGAATTGGTATTTAGATATAGGTCATTCTAGTGCCAAATCATGGCTTTTATTAAACTGTTAATTAATATTTCCACTAATCATTTTCTTTGTGAACCAGTATGTGGTTTTTAACTTTTCTCCTATAATGACTGAAAATTAACAATGTCACTAAACATTTGGGGCTGAATATATGGTATTAAAATCAGTAAAAAAAAAAAAAAAAGGTAACACACTGGTTATGTGGCATTTTTTTTTTAATTTTTTTTTTTTTTAAAGATTTTATTTATTTGACAGAGACACAGTGAGAGCAGGATCACAAGCAGGGGGAGAGGGAGAGGGAGAAACAGGCTTCCCGCAGAGCAGGGAGCCTGATGCGGGGCTTGATTCCGGGACCCTATTCCGGGACCCTGGGATCATGACCTGAGCCGAAGGCAGACGCTTAACGACTGAGCCACCCAGGCGCCCCTCTGTGGCATTTTGTTAGCTAATGTTTGATTCTTAGAACTATAGGAATAACCTATAGGATTTATTTTATTTTTTTAAGATTTTATTTATTTGACAGAGACACCGCAAGAGAGGGAACACAAGCAGGGGGAGTGGGAGAGGGAGAAGCAGGCTTCCCCCCTAGCAGAGTGCCCAGTGTGGGGCTGGATCCCAGGATCCTGGGACCATGACCTGAGCTGAAGGCAGACGCTTAACAACTGAGCCACCCAGGCGCCTCTAACCTATAGGATTTAGAAATTATTCTAAATGAGTGAACCAGAGCTCATGGTTTGATGCCTGAGGTCATTCAGGTGCAAATAATGTGGGGACTAAAGTCTGAAGTCTGGCGTGTAGAACACAAGTCTCTGGCTCCAGAACTTATTTTTGCACTTTCCCTTAATCTAAGAATTCTTAATCTGGGTCTCTGGTTAGAATTGACAAAGTCTGTGAACTTCATTGAGGGGAAGAAAAATTGCCTCTTTATTCTGACTAGCTTCTAATTAAAATCTAGAATTGAAGAGAATTGAAAATTCTTTTTTTTTTTTTTAAAGATTTTTTATTTATTTATTTGAGAGAGAGAATGAGATAGAGCATGAGAGGGGGGAGGGTCAGAGGGAGAAGCAGACTCCCCGCTGAGCAGGGAGCCCGACGCGGGACTCGATCCCGGGACTCCAGGATCATGACCTGAGCCGAAGACAGTCGCTCAACCAACTGAGCCACCCAGGTGCCCGAGAATTGAAAATTCTTGAAATTGCAATGGATTCAACAAGAGAAATATTTTCATATATTACAGTTTTTGCAGGTATCTTGAAATACTGTCAATGTTCATTACACCTTGTTATGTGTTTAAAAATCTTGTTATTTAATGCATTAGAAAAGCACATTTATTACTAAAGTAGAAATTTAAAAATATTTTGATAACTATAATTGGTTTATTTTGTGATCCTGTGCATTTCAAAATTTAAAAACATTCTGAGGGGCGCCTGGGTGGCTCAGTCGTTAAGCCGCCTAAGACCTTTGGCTCAGGTCATGATCTCAGGGTCCTGGGATCGAGCCCCGCCTCGGGCTCCCTGCTCAGCGGGAAACCTGCTTCTCCTTCTCCCACTTCCCCTTCTTGTGTTCCCTCTCTCGCTGTCTCTCTCTCTCTGTCAAATAAATTTAAAAAATCTAAATAAAAAATAAACATTCTGAGAAGAGATCTATAGATTAATTAGACTGCTAAAGCGGTCCATGGCACAAGAGGTTAAGAACCACTTTGCTGTAAACCAAGTTGCTTGTGGATTATCTTTGGTAGGGCTTCTCTAATATGGAATCTGGGCCCTTTGCAGTTGTGTTCAAAATCTTTTACCTGTGTGCATTTTTCTGGAAAGACCCCAGGTTTTAGTTTATAACTGGAATCAGTGGGATAGATAATAGTAATGATAATGGCACTATAATAATAGTGATATACACATATATTGTACTTAACTGTGCATGAGGCCTGTTAAATGTTTTTGCATGTGAACATACATATGCATCTACTCAATCCTACCTACGAGGATTTTAGAGATAAACTACGCCACAGAATTTAAGAAAGTTGCCCAAAATTACACAGCTAGTGAATATTGAAGTTGGAATTAGAACTCTGCTATCTAGCTATGCTGCAATAGAAATCTACAGGCAGACAGGGAATCCTGTTTTAAGTAATACTTAGAGGTAACTTTTTTAACTTAGTCTTGCTGACAAAGGGCTATATTGATTTTAGTAGTTTATTGGGTTTTTTTCTCACTATGTTCTGAAGGAGACATATACAATGTCTGGCTCTCTGAGAAGAGGTAAAAATGTTTGGATAATTCACAGAATTTTCAAAGATGTACCGACATAAATTCCCTTAAAACACGTTCTGTAAGTTCAAAACAGCATCATGCTTCCTTCTATCAAATTATTTAAATGACAGGTTACACTTTTTTTTAATGATTTTTATGGTTGCTAACGTTTTTGTTTTTCAGATCATTTTCCCCCCCTCTAATATTTTTAGCAGTTACGTCTGCTTTAGTTGTTTGGCCATGTTTTAATTGGGTTTCTGTCTCAATTTGAGTTTTTCCCTGAAAATGAATACTTATAACCACTTATTTAGGTAATAATGACTTTTATGCACTCTAGGATGCTTTAATAACTCTTAGATAACTTTTAAAATTCTTCTTATTTAAAATACAGATAACATAAAATTTAACGATCTTAAACATTTTCAAGTGTATAGTTCAGGGTTATTAAGTACTTTTACATTTTTTTTTTTTTTAAAGATTTTATTTATTTATTTGAGACAGAGAGAATGAGAGAGAGA